TTGAACTGACAGCACCTGCACCGCTCCCTATAGCTCTTGGCCGAGATCAATGCACCAGACGTATGCCTTCTCATTTGCAAGACTTTATCTGCAATACAGTAGTTACACCCCTTTCACGTCCACTTCCGTCTCCAATTGCCTCAGGTATCTCATATCCTCTAAGTCATTTTGCCACTAATGCATGTTTTTCTTCGAAACATCAGCTATTCCTTGCAGCCGTTGATAGCAATTCCGAGCCAAAGACATTTAAAGAAGCAATGCAATCCCCTCAATGGCAAAAAGCCATGCAGCTGGAAATTGCTGCCCTTGATGAAAATAAAACTTGGAGTATTACACCACTTCCTCCAGGCAAGAAAGCCATACCGTGCAAATGGGTCTACCGCATTAAGTACAATGCCGATGGATCAATCGAGAGATACAAGGCTCGTTTGGTAATTGCTGGCAACAATCAGGTCGAAGGAGAAGATTACAACGAAACATTTTCCCCTGTAGCAAAAATGGTAAGCGTGCGAGCATTTCTATCAGTGGCTGTAGCTAAACAATGTCATATTTTCCAACTCGATGTCCAGAACGCTTTTCTTCATGGAGATTTGGCTAAGGAAGTCTTCATGTGTTTCCCTCCTGGCTTCTCCAATGGTAAACCAGGTCATGCATGCAAGCTTCTACGCTCTCTTTACGGTCTTAAGCAGTCTCCAAGGAACTGGTTTGCCAAACTCCGCACATCTCTCCTCACTTTCAGATTCACTCAATCTCATGCAGATTACACTTTGTTTACTTACACTCATGGATCACATTCGGTCACAATCCTAGTTTATGTTGATGATATCCTCTTGGCAGGAGATGATTTAGCTCTATGTGATCGAGTCAAAGCCCATCTGCGCACCTGGTTCAAGATCAAAGACTTAGGCCACCTCAAATACTTCCTTGGTATTGAATTTGCTCAAAGCCAATCTGGCTTATTTTTTAGCCAGCGAAAATTTGCATTGGATATCCTCCAAGAATGTGGTCTTCAGGGTTGTAAACCAGCAGCATATCCAATGGATCCAAATCATAAACTTGCTCTTGCAGATGGTCCTCCTTATAACGATCCCAAACGCTACCGTCGCATCATTGGTCGTTTAGTGTACCTCACTATAACACGTCCAGAATTGAGCTATGCCATGCACACTCTCTCTCAGTTCTCGCATAATCCCATGCAGCTGCATTTTGATGCTGCGATTCGAGTATTACGCTATATCAAGAAAAATCCTGGCCAAGGTCTTCTTCTACGCTCTGATTCTGATCTCCTTGTTCGAGCTTACTATGACTCTGATTGGGCTAGTTGTCCACTTACCCGCAAGTCTGTCACAGGGTATTACATCACACTCGGCCACTCTCCCATCTCTTGGAAAACCAAGAAACAACTCACCATTTCTCGTTCCTCCGCGGAAGCCGAGTATCGCGCAATGGCAGCAGCTGCTTCTGAGCTCATTTGGATCAAATCCTTCCTAAGTTCCCTTGGTCTTACTCATACAGAACCAATGACGCTTTTCTGTGACAGTCAATCAGCCATTCACATTGCTACCAATCCAGTCTTCCATGAGCGCACAAAGCACATCGAATTGGATTGCCATTTTGTTCGCGAACACATCCTCAACAAATCAATCTCCACTCAGCACATTCGGACACCGTCTTAACCAGCTGACATTATGACAAAAGCACTAGGCTCAAAACAGTTTGATTTCTTAGTTGCCAAGTTGGGCATTGCATCCCTTCATGCCCCAACTTGAGGGGGAGTATTAGGAGATTGTTATTTGTTGTTCCAACTAATATAGTTAGTTTAGATTCTTATCAGATTGTATTGTTAATATCTGATAGGATTAGTTTTATTTGCTTTCTTGTTTTCAAGTATTTAGCTTTACTGTTCCTTAGTTGTAGCTCTTTCTGTTGTAATCTTTTGGGTGTATATATTTGACCCTAAGCATTGAATGAAAGCAAGTTGCTGATTCAAGCACCTTCTGTTAGTGTATTATGTGTTTCTTAAATATATTGATAAACTTTTTAGATATCAAAGTGTATATGAAAAGGCAATTCAGAAAAAAAAAAATTATCTTAATTAATTCACCTCGTTTTGAATATAAAAGCCACATTCCTAATAGATAAAAGATTGATTCTTCATACTCGAAACTCCATTTTGGTCCATACTAAATATGGCCCTAATTGTGACAAAGAAATGGATTAAAGAGCAACTCTAATAATATAAAGAAAAGATAAAAAGAAATCACTTGCACTTACAAATTTTAATATAATTATCTTTTTTATTTATAATACAGTGATTAGTAATGGACCTTAACAATTTATATTTGGTATTTATAACTATGAACTCATATGACAAATTATTTATGAGAATTGAGAAAAACAACTCCATATGCCTTCAATGTAAATTCTTATTACCTCAATTATTATTATTATTATTATTATTATTATTATTATAACCCTATTTTAGAGATAATACTCACATTAAATAAGGATTATATAATTGTTTAAGTAGTTTTTTTTTTTGGGTAAACAATTGTTTAAGTAGTTACTAGTACAGTTGGCATAAATAAACAAGATTAGTGTGCATCTTGTTGAATTTCATTGATGTAGAGTTTTTTTTTTTTTTTGTCTTAATATTGCTAAGGATGATAGGCAAATTATGACTCATACAATTAAATTTAGGAGTGACAAAATAGGTTATGTCACGTAGGTCGACCCGTGACACGACATGAAAATTTGTGTTCAGGTTGACCTACAAAAACATTCGTGTCGTGTTTGTGTTGGGAAAATATAACTCTCAAAAAATTTGTATCGTATCGTGTCAATACGAATTCGACCTATATTTTTTCATTATCATTTTATTTTTTTTAAATTTTGACCCAATTTTTTAATTTTTTTTTTGTCAATTATTGTTTTGACCTATAATTTGCATGTCATTCGTGTCGTGTTGGGTCAATCCGCAAAAAATTTATGTCTTGTTCGTATCAAAAATTCAGACACGAATAAAAATTCATGTTGTGTTTATTTGCATGTAGGGCCGGCAAAACGAACTTAGCTCAGCGGGCCAAGCAGTTCCACCCGCCAAACAAGGTGGAGCGAGCTGAGTTTTACAACTCATTTCAAAAGTGGAGTGAGGCGGGACGTTTCAAAAGTAGGGTGGGCTGTCCACTTTGTCACTTCTAGTTGCATGTATTCGTGTCATGTCAAATTCATGTCATCGTGTTGTGTCGACCCATCTTGACATTACTATTTTATGTTCTTAGCCTCACTAGTAACTCTTTTAGGTTTGAACAAAATTGAAGTGCATTCAGCATCGTAACTGACGTTATGAAATATTTTTCTAAATTACTAATTTGTTTATTAAATAATAGAAGTATAAAATAGTAATGAAATTTTGGTATGATAGTGCCGTAATAATCATATTTGTTTGTTCTAAATTACATTGCTACCCATCACTCTTTTTTTTTTTTTTTTTTGATAAACCGCTACCCATCACTCTATGTAAATATTAATTAATATCTTAAATAATAATTGATATCTAATAATTAAGATACTAAAGAACAAAATTATTATTATTTCGAAAAATAATATTAAATTCATTCAATCAAATAATAATTAACATTTCAATTATTTGATGCAATCTTTGGAATTCTTATAAGTTTATAATTTTTATTTTTCTTATCATTGGTAATAATTTGGTTATTGGTTTTTTATTTTCATATTCATCCAAAAAAATTCAAATACGTCGTGCTATTCCTACAAAAGTCTATAATTGCTTATATGTTATATTGATTCGTGAAACATTATGAGTTGATTTTTTTTTTAGAGGATTGATCTGCTATTGTTTTATTTTCAAAAGTTATGAGATATAAGAAGTCGAGCCGGTAGAAGTTTATATTTTAATTGACGAAAATTTTGGTCGTTCTCGATTTTTATTAAGTATTTTAAATTGTTGGACAAAAAAAAAATACATACAACCTATTTTTGTTTGCAACATCCTATAACTACATCTTAATCATTAATTTCTGTCAATCTGACGATTATAATTTTTCTGGAATTAATAAATATTACTAATAAATTATAACCATTAGATTAACAAAAATCAACTGTTAAGATATAATTGTAAGAGGTTGTAAACAAAAAGTACGATGTGAATATAACCTTCCTCATAAAAAAATTAAAAATTAAAAAAGTATTATTAACAATAAATTTAATATTTTTAAATTTATAAAAATTCCAAAAGATCATATAAGACAAATGAAAATAATTTTTAATTTTTATTATTATTTAAAATGAATTTAATGAAAAATTTTAAATTATTAAAATTATATTATTTAAAATTTTAATTATTAGATATTATTTATTATTTAGGTAGAACAAGTAAATAGAGATTTAAAATTAACACCAGCGAATATAATCTCCAAAAGAAAAAGAAAAACAAATAATTCGCACGAAACTATGTGCCTGTTTAAAATCTCTTTTGAAAAATAATATTTTTATTTTTAGAAAAAAAATGTCTAATAAGACCTTTTTGTAAAAAAATTAAAAATTATAATTTTTATTTTTTTACTTTTAAAAAGAAATTTAGAGAACATATATGAATTATTTTTATTTCGTTTTGACTTTTAACTTTTAAATAAATAAAAAAACACATATTTAATTAATTATTTTACAAAACAGTTTTAAGAAAAAAAAATTAAAATACAATCAAATAGATCTTATAATTCGATTTTGTTTATTTTCAACATTAAGTAAGTTTAAAAAAGTTCCCATTAGAATAGCCCACAAGAATAGTTCAATTGAAAACTGAGTGTTTAAGATACTTTACTTTAGTTAGAGGTACATTTTATTTCAAAGAGGAGTTAGCCTCAGCCTCACGAACCGTACTTCGAACACAAAAAAAAAAAAAAAAAAAAAAAAAAACCAATAGGTTACGCCTTACGCGTAACGGATACGCAGGCAAATACAATTATACAAGTTGCATGTTGCTGTCTCTACCCTAAAGTTTTATCTTCTCGGGCTTCGATACTTTTTTCGCCATTACTCCACGTCTAATAAGAGGAAAAGCATCGTTGCACCAGGTTGCCACGGAGGGCACAACCGTCATTTCATACAGAACCGTGTTTTCTTTTCTCTTCCCCCTCCCCCCTCTTCACGTTACGCGCATTAACAAAGAAGGAGAGAGGGAGAGAGAGAGAGAGGAATCAGAGGTTGTTCTGTTCTGTTTGGAACGGTAACAGAGATGGGGTTGCTTTCCAACAGGTATTCTTAATTTTCGTTCTTCCTATTTTGGTTTTGTTATGGTTTTTATGTGTGGGATTTTGATTTTGTTTTTGTTGTTGTTTTTTCTGTTGCAAAAAAACAAAATAAAAATAAAAATGGTGAACCGGAACAATGGATGCACAGAGTTACTAGAGAGAGTCTGAAACCAGGGGATCACATCTACTCTTGGAGGACTGCTTATATTTATGCCCATCACGGTTCTCTCTTCTCTCTTATCTTTTTTATCTTGCTTCTTGAGTTTGTGGTTGAAGAGAAAATGAAATAGGAGATGTTAAAAGAGTTTGGGTTTAGATTCTATTCTTCTCTTCATGATTTGGATATCCATAGAAGTAAAGTATATTATAATTTTTTATTTTTTATCTTTTTAGGTTTTTTTGGTGAAGTTTTGTTTAATCCCTTGAAATACCCTCTTGCTTACCTCTCTGATGGAAGGCAACCATGAAAAAAAAGGTTTTATTTATTAACTGTGTGGAAGTTAAGATTTCAAATAGTGGAACTTGGCCTTATTGGCCCTCTCAATTTAGAACCTTAAACATTGGAAAGAGAACAAAAAAGGGAACGGAACACACTGGTGACGTATCTGAAAGATATACCATTTTGAGGGCCTGTGCTATGACTTTGCATATATTATATTGCCATTAGACTGTGACTTTACTTTACCCTTGAAGACAAAAGAAATGTTTGTTTTTCTTGGAGAAAATAATTCAATAAAACTTGTCTTGGATAGCATTGCATACAAGGAGACAATTGGCTTCTGTGCTTTGATGAAAAGCAATTTTTTTTTTTTTTTTTTTTTAAAAGGTTATTGGGCTGGATGCCTTCGCAATTTTTGTATATTCAACAGTTGTTAGTGGTCAATTGTATCCAAAGATGTCCCACATACCCTATGTTTAGAATTTGGATTGAAAGAAAGAAAGTAGGGAGGAAAGAAAATTTGAAAAGTTTGAAATTTCCTCTTTTTTTGGTTGAAGAGGAAAATAAGGAAGAAAGAAAACTCTAGAAACAAAAAAATTATAAATTTTCTCTTCATTTCAAATTTCAGAATTTTCTCTCATTTCGAAAATTCTAGTATCGAAGAAATTCTAAATTTTCTCTTCATTTCAAATTTCAGAATTTTCTCTCATTTCCCTCATTTTCTTCACTCTCATCCAAACAGGGTAAGTGTTCTGACTTCTGTGTGTCAGGATGATTTGACGACCATTTTTCGATTCTTTGAAGTCTTATTTAAGTTTGTAGCACAAATTTTCAGGATTAAATGATGGTTGTGCATGATATAGAATGAGATTAAATAATGGACAAAAAAAAAATCATTTTGCTGTACAAATGATGGAAGTAGAAAATCATATACTGAGGGAACAAGTGATGAGGTTACTAGTGGAGAAGAGATTTTTAGGTCCATTGGGTGTAAGATTGGTGAGTGGTATTCCATTAGAACATCGAAAGCAATAACTGGCAATGCCATGTGATACTTTTACATTGTACTATTGAACTTGTGCCATGTCAACTATGTGAGCCATCATTGTCTTTCAATATTTATACACTACCGAAGATTAGCACAAAAAAAATAAAAAATGTAGTGGTTAATTAGAAGACAATAGTGAGACACATGGCTAATGCAGAACCACATTTGGTGTTCACAAGAATCTCTTTATTTGAAGATATCTTTGTGATTTATGATTGGAGATCTTGACATTGTTTATTAATTCTTCTCAGTTCTCATCCTTATTTCTATACTTTCCAGCTCTCACATTTTTCTTCTTGTGCTCTGGTTTTAGAGTTTCTCACTTCGATTTTTTTCTTTTTTTCTTTCTTAAATTTTCATTTTTTTTAATGTATGCTTCATTTGTAGACCATTGTCGGTCCCTAACTATTTTGAGATAAAGGTGATGTTAATGTTATAGATCATTGTCTGTGTCATGACAGAATCTTTTATCGTGTGTCTGAATGAATAACAGGCATTTATGTCGGCGATGACAAAGTCATTCACTTCACTAGACGTGGGCAAGAAGTAGGAACCGGCACTGTGATAGATCTTCTCCTCATTAGTTCAGGACCAGCCAACTCTCGCCAAAGCTGTCCAACTTGTACGGCGCCCCAAGAGGCACATGGGGTTTTCTCCTCATGCCTGAACTGCTTCCTAGCCGGTGGTGTCCTTTATCGGTTCGAGTATGCTGTCTCCCCTACTCTCTTTCTTGCAAAAGCCCGTGGTGGAACGTGTACTCTTGCAGTATCTGACCAAAATGATATCGTAGTCCATCGAGCTAAGTTTCTGCATGAAAATGGCTTCGGATGCTATAATGTTTTCAAGAACAATTGTGAAGATTTTGCCATCTATTGCAAAACCGGGCTTCTAGTTGTTCAAGGAATTGGGCAGAGTGGCCAAGCAGTTTCCATCATTGGGGGACCTCTTGCTGCGGTTCTATCCACACCTCTTCGTCTGGTAACTACAAATGTTTATGGAATGGCAGCAACAGCCATTGGAGTGTACTGTGCAAGTAGGTATGCTGCAGACATTGGAATGAGGAGGGATGTGGCGAAGGTACAAGTTGAAGACTTGACAGGAAGGTTGACGACTGGCTTGCTGCAGGTGGTTGAACCTCAAATTCCTGTGGATCATGCTCGTCAATCTCCTCAGCTTGTCACTCAGTGATAAAACATTGTCTTTGTTTGAATATTTTGGTAAGAATATCCTCGGTATGTGATTCCAATGCATGCGCTTTTTTTATCTGGGTGTGTAAGCAATATAAAATTTAATGAAATTTTTTATAGTTCATGGATTTGCATGATGTTCTAACGTTTATACTTGTCTGTATTGTTGCACAAGATATGAAACGGGGTTACTATTTGGATCTATTTTCTTGTTTACTCTAACTCGTCTAGCATTCCGGTCCAAAATATAAAAAAATTTAACATTTCTTGGCGAGGTTAGCTTTGCTTTGAGGCCTCTACGGATGTTGAGCGTGACATTGTTTGATCAAATGAACACTAACATCATAGGCTACGAAGCACCGACACTTCAAAAACTCTGACGTGTCGTGTCCGACACTTCCCGACACTCTCCGACACTCCAACACGCGTTGTAGAGACTCAAAAAAAGATTCAAAGATTACGTTACATTGCATTTTTAGTTCCAATTATTAGATTTGTTGGATTACTATTACAATTTTATTGAGTTTAATATAAATATTTGGGATATCTTATGTTTCTTTGCAAAATTGATGGGTATTATAAGTTTAATTTTATTTTGTGTTAAATTATTGAGTATTAAATATAATATACATTATACAAATTAAAAATAATATTTAATATCAAAATGTGTCCTAACGTGTCGAAATTTAACATTTTTTAGAATTAACGTATTCAAGTGTCGTGTCGTATCGTGTCTCGTGTCTCGTGTTTCGTGTCCCGTGTCCGTATCGGTGCTATATAGATCATAGGCATAAAGCACGAAAATCGTGAGCTGTTGCGGGACGTTCTTCAGTGGCATGGATACTACTGTATAAGATAAATGAGGATGTATTTTTTTTTTTTTTGTATAACTATTATTTTTTTTATTCAGGAGTTATTGGTCTTTTGGTGATCTAGTTAGTAATATGTTCAATTCCTGAAAGTTAGTGGAGAAATTTAAATCCGAAATCGAAGTACTTGGATCCGTTAGAAATTCGGAAACTTATTGATATTTACAAGTACAAGAAATTTAGATTAATGGCTTAGAGTGTGTCATCTTTACATCAAGTTTCATTGACTCCTTTACAAGAAATAGTGGATAAGATTTTTCAATACATTAAAAAAAAAAAACAGAAAATATAATATCAAATCATGGCCTTTATCTAATAGCTTAAAACTTTTAGAGAAGATGGTTGTTTATATGGTATGAGAGTGGACATATGACTGAATGGTTGTCAGTTTCATTCTCACTGTCCCTATTTTATTAATAAAAATAATTAAATATTATGAAAAAATTTAATACAGATAAGTCGAGTTTGATACATCATTCATTCTTCAAATCCAATTGGCTTTTGTGCGATGAGACGTGTCACAGAAATATAAATTCATTAATATAACTTTACCAAATAACTTAAGCTTTTGAATTAAAATGATTCTTTATATGATATTAAAGCTATGTGATCAATTGCCTACCAAAAAAGCTATGTGATCAATTTAATTTTCATTGCTCCATTCAATTAAAAAATAATTAAAAATATTATACACCTTCTTGGTATTGACACGGATAAGTATCTTCACGTTTATGTGAGAGGGCGTCTTGGAAAAAATATAATACAAAACCATTAATTGACTTTCATCTAATGACTTAAACTTTTAAGTGAGATAATTGTTTACGAGTGAGTATATTCTAACTACCAAAATTTCTCACTACTAACTTACTACCCATCACATCACCATTGGATCAAAAAGAGATAATGTTAAAAAAAATTGGCTAAATTACATCTTACCACCCCCATCTTACACCTTTATTCAAAATACCACCTTCTACTTTGAATTGAAGCAATTTAACTATTCACACTTTAACATAGTAACAATTAAGTACTTCTGTGAAATTCGCATCCAAATCCGTCAAATAATCACGTGATGCACAGGTTATAAAACTTCAGTTCCTTAAATCCCAACCATAGCTTCCACCAAGCTTTGCCGCAGTCTAATCTAACCCTATGCAGATTTATTTTCTTCTTCCTTCTTATTCATTGCAAATTCACTTCGACCTTCATGCTTCACTTTTACTTCCAAAGGTGAGTCGCCGGTGACTTTCCAGCTCAAATTTAATCACCCACCACCAGTTTGGCTATTTGCTTAGGGAGTTCCTTGTTTGTTTCTCCTTCCAATACTTGTATGATACTCAAAGAAAAGGAACAATAATCATGCAGATAGCAACTCATGTATGCTTGATAATAGGATTTGGATTCTCGCCTCTGATGTTGAAATAACAGGAGAAAGTTATGTTAGATAAATAAAGTCACTTAATAATTTTTAATATAACTAGTAGCCTAATAACGAAGGTAAGATTGGCACCAACATTAATCTTTTGGCCATGTGATCTAGAGGTCATTCACACGATCAGACTTTTGCAAATGCAAAGTTTATTATCCTGATAAGTGATAACCAATCATGGTGAATATAAATTATTTTCTGGAATGCGATGGTTCTGTTACACAAGAGGATCCTAATTCCTGTTATGATAACTTGTTTCTTGATCAAGTAGATAAGCAACATTCGTTTCCAGCTACTGTTGCTCGTGACACAAGGGCAATGCCAAATTGTATTGGGGAACGATTATCATGTTCCGAGACCTCCATTGCTGCTTGTTCTTGTGATGATCCCAATGGAAGTGATGCGAATAGGGATGACAATTATGGCGCAGGGTTCTTGGACAATTACCAATTGATTAGAGATTGTGATAAGCTAATTGGGGCTTTCATGGTGGATGAGTCCGAATTGACTGATTGGATAAAGTTGGTTTTCAACGAGTTTTAATTTGCAATTTAGACTAATGCGTCAAACTTGGAGGACGAGGAAGAAGAGAATGAGTTTCTCCATAGTAGAAGGTTAGGAATTGTAGTTTTAGAATTGGTTATGTCACGTGATCATTTAACGGACTTGGATATGGATGTAACAGAAGTGCTTAATTGTTACAATGGTAAAAGTGTCAGTAGGTAAAATGCTTCAATTGAAAGTAGAGGGTGGTCTTTTAAAAAAAATACAAGTTCAGGGTGGTAATATGTAATTTAGCCAAAAAAATTTGAAGAGAGAGAAAATATTAATCTAATGGTGATTAGATAGGTAATAAGTTAATAGTAAAAAAATTTAGTAGTAAGAGTATCCCTCCTCATTGTTTACATTGGAAATAAATCATCAGTACCAACTTAATAGGATTTGAGCCAGATAAGATCACAAATGCAATAAAATTCTCTATACTAAGTGTTTTACACAGCTACATACTCATAGCTCAAACTCAAGACCATTAATTAAATTAAAACAATTCCATAGCAATTGATCTACCTCTTTAATAATTTTTCTTTGAGAATTGAGACAATCAATATTGGGTAGAAAAAATGACTAATTATTAACAATAATAATCTAATAATATTATAAGAATATAATTTTATATATAATAATAATTAAAAAATTAAAATTTAAGGAAAGACAGCCACCAACCCCTCCTTTCGGTCCAACCTTTGAATAGCGATGAAAAGCGGTTACTAGTTCAATTGCACTATGAATGCAACGACATTCTAATCTTGAGACTTCTCCAAAAAGACAACAAAAACAAAAAGAAAATACTACCGGTCACAGTAGCCAAGTTAGATTTTCAAATATTGATCAACAATCCAGATTGTGAAATATCCATTCCTTTAGGTATAGGGTTCAAAAGTTTATTAGAAAAATTAACTTAAAGCCTGTCTTGATACATCCGTTGGGAAATGCACTAGTGGTTCATCATTAAAACTTGGCAATACATGACATGATAATATCTCTACCATAACATAATGTGCAACTACCTACAATACTGCGTCTTAACTTTATAAATTTACCTCACTTGTCTAACTCTTGTACAATAGTTAACTTAAAATGCTAAAGCGCTAAATTTGATCATTGGATTGACTATCCGAATAATGAGAATAATAATAGAACATGTCAGTATTAATTCCGAAAACAAAAATGCTTCACTATTTTCCATACAAAATCTCAGGTACCAACAAAGATTGTATAACCTTTCCTCGCACATTTGGGATGGAAATACAGTGATTCATACAAGACCGCAAACATCATAGGAGGCACTTGACCACTGCTTTTGAAGTCAAGTTGGAACTCCAATCCTTTCTATTTACCTTAAACAAGCAAAACTGCATTTATACAACCATCATTTTCTGGGTTATTGGTAACCTGGGCATATTTACCTGAATTCATGGCAAACAGAAATCCAACGCATTAATTTAAAGAATTTCAGATAAAATTTCGGCAAATGGTTACAAAACCAAAATACAAGTAACACAAATAATCTTACCCCAAACAACTTTCCCGGCAGGTGTGACCAGACCCAGTTCACTGACATTCACCTGAAATTACAGTAAGCAAGGAAATAAGTAACGCCCATTTTGATAATAATTCATATTATTCACATTACACCTCAGTAGCAGCTAATAAAAAGGGCAAGTTGGGATCAAATTAGATGCCTTAAATTTTGAGTATGAAAATAACCCTCAATTAAAAGGGCAGGAAATATACATACCTCAATTATAGTTCCCTTGGTCATGACACCAAGAGAGGTGTACATAGGACCATTAGGGTTTTTCTTCACTCCAATTATTTCTAGATTAAATGTGCATTTAAGTTCTGGATGAGTGACATGAGCTTTAGTGAACCGCAATCCTGTAGGACGAATGAACCGCTCATACTTTGGAGGTTTTCTGGTAAAACCAGGCCCAACAAATGTAGCTTTTGTAACCATCCTCTTCCATTGCTTGGCTGCAAAACAATGAGCCATATACTATCAGACGCCTTTCTGGCAAGGATCATTACGCATTCTGTCCAATAGCCCCCCTTTAAAGCTTAAAGTGCTTACAACAAACTAAGGGACTATAGAAACAGAGAACAAACAGTAAGACACCTTTACAAACATGAAAGAAAATTCTCTGATCATTTAATAAAATCACAAGACCATGATTTAAGAATTAGTGCTTTGAAACCACAAGAATGCAAGAACATCAAACTACTCAAGCAAAGAAATATGGTGGCTTTGTCCATAAACAAGCTGAGAAAAGGAGGGAACAAAGAATTGTATACAAACATGATTTCCATAAAGATAAACAATTGACAATCATGTATTGTAGCAGGTACTTGAAAATAACATTTTTTATACCATTTTGATCATTTGGCATTGACAAAAACAGAAGTCAATAATTAAATTTGGATAGCTAAACAAGAATAACCTAAGAAGATGAAAATAATACTTACTCTTCCTTTTACCAGACCGGACCACTTTGAACATTTCATCTTCAGCCACAGGACGAACCTAAAGAAATTGGAAAACATACACTCCCGTAATTACTCAAAAGGAACAACTCCTTCACTTCCAAAAGAAACAAAAAATACACATCAAATAGGAATGTGTAGCCAATTTTGAGTAAGAGACATCATTTAACATCATCGGCACAAAGTATAGAATGCAATCTCACCTTAGGTAGAGGAACATCCCATTTCCCAGCCTTCTCCTTCCTCTTTTGCTTAATGGTGTTGCTGAGAACCTATAAATAGAACTTCGTCATGTTACTTACAAGAAGATAGTGCAAAAGAATCAGAAATCAGGATTGTTTGTCTTTCAATACCACATGTGTGATATACCTTGGCTCTGGTCGTGTTCTCACGATCCAAAAGATATGCAGGAACAGCTCCATCTAGAACATTATCATCAGACTTACGCCGAGAGGTCGACTCTTCATGCATGGCCAAACTGTTGATACACAATAGTGAAATCATTACCTCATAAATTTGACAACCAACAGACAAATCTATAGATTGTTCAAAAAGGGGGGGGGGGGGGGGGGGGGGGGGCAATGTCTATAAGAAAAGCTCCAGCTCTGCATAAGGTCCAGGAAAAGTCAGACCCATTATGTAGGTAGCCTTACCCTGCATTTGCACGGGGATCACCCATTATCTAGGTCTATAGTAGGTTGACTTAGCATGTATTGCTATTTACAAGAGAGACTGATCACATGATTCGAAAATGTGACCTCCAGATAAGGTTACATTGCGAAAACACCAACCTTGTGCCAAGGCTCCCGTATGGATAAATGTATAACGATGAAAAACTACTGTGCTAATTATCTAACATCAGCCAAAAAGTCTTGAATAAACATGCCATTCAAAAGCAATCCCGATTTAAGGTAAGGAATCAACCACAATTAACGAAAATACTACTACTGCATCAGGACACACAAGCTAAGCTATAACATAAATAAATAGTAAAACATGGTCAAAACACAAATAGACAGGGGATAAAAAAGGTCAAAATATTAAAACAACCCCCAAAAAATAACAAAAAAAAAAAAAAAACTTACGTCTTCTTCATCAATGCCTTTTCAGCATAATTTTTCTTGGCAATCATCTTGCCCTTAATACCCAAAGTCTGTTCCACTCGAATCAACAAAAATCCAATTAGAATTATGACAATACAACTAAATAACTATCGACTAGTTTAAATAAAATTAAATGCAATAAAAAATATATAAAAAAAAGATTAAGATAAAACATGGAGTTAGTGAAACCTTCTGGGCCATTGCAGAGTGCTTGTGAACTTGACGAGCCTCCTTCTTGCGCTTGCGCTCGAAGTGATCCAGGCGGTAGCCATAATCTCTTATGTGACGTTCTATGTAATCCCCTTGCGGCTACAATTACAAACACAGAACAAGAACAAAAAAATAAAAATAAAAATCAGAAAATACATGGGAGTTCAAAAAATGAGAAGAAGCTTCAAACAAAGTGATGAAAAAAAAATAAGAGCGAACCATGGTGACGACGGCGATGAAGTAATCAGATCAGAGAAGCGTTCAACGGAAGGGACGGAAGGGAACGCGTTGATTATAAACCCTAAGCTTCTTTTGTGCTTCGAGAGTGAAGGTTTGTTATGACTCGCAAGCGGTGAGTTGAGTAAGGTGGTAGATACTGGGCTTTCTTTTTAGCCCAATGATGGTTGGGTTTACAATTTGGGCTACTTTACAGATTCGGTCCCGCCAATGTTCCCAAATGGGGTTTAGTATGGACGTAGAAATGGAATTGAAGTTTAATAGGGCCTTACTCATAAACTTCTCTCAAAATATTTTCAGGGATATAGTTTTTTTTTAGTTAATCTAACGCTAATTATTTTTTGAGGCAAGTTGGCTTCTCCTTATTATCCTCACAAGTTAGGGATGTAAATGAGTCAGGTATCCTATCAGGAGCCTACACAGTCTAACCTACTTTAGGCCCGACCTAACCTACTCTATTTTCTAAACACAGCAGTTTTAGGCTTTTAGAAAAGTCATTTTAAAAATTAGGTCATAGACTTTAAAAAGTCTATTTTCTCATGTGTAAAAATGACTATATAATCATATTATTTGATCACAATCACTCATTAATAATGATATAAAAGAAAGAAAAATATATGATTTTTAAATAAGTGGCTGTGATCAAATAATATGATCACATTATCACTTTTACACATGAGAGAATCCAAATAAAAAAAGTTAGTATATGTTAGAGAATAATTATGAAAAGACTTGGAAATAAAGTGGAAAACGCCAGGTTAATTTATTATTATTTGGTAAAACCAAGTTAAGCTTTTGTACAAAGGATTTTATTTTTTGGTACAGTAGGAGATATGTATATTATATTATAGGCATATCTTATATGAGATTCACATCTATCAAAACAATAAAAAAGCAACAAAAAAAATATTATACAAAATTTGAAGGGTTACTGGTTGGAGAAAATAACTCTTCTATAATAGAAAAATGTTTTCTCTTTGTATAAAGGGTAATACTATTCTTATTTTATATGAAAGTAATTTTCTCATGTTATAGAAAGAAATTAAGGAGAATCCACCATTAAAGAATAAAAAAAAGGTGGAATTTTCGAACTAAGAAAATATGAAAAATAGTATTATTCCCTTGTATAAATGAAAAAATGCTAAAGAGAGAAGAGAATAAGTTTTCTTTTTATATGATTATTGGTTTAAGTGTTAATTTTTAGAGTATATTCGCTACTATTATCTGAAAAGATTTTCAAAATATCAATTTAGTCATCAAAAGGATTTACGCTAATTTGGTTCTTAAATAATTTTTATCATAAAAATAACTCAAAAGTTTAGAGAACAAAATGATTATTTGAAGAATAATTTAATATTGCTAATAGTTAAATTATTTAAAAAAATAGAGGAATAACTTTAGAAGCTTAGTCTAATTTCTAACACCGTCACCCTCTGTTTACATGTCCTTTTCTTCATGATTAAATACTCCTTTCATATATCAAAGGTGTTAATTTAAGTGGTATATGCTTAATTTCACTTAAGCAAAGTTTTAATTTTAAGTTTTTGTGAATATAAATTTTTTTTTGGGAGAACTAACCCCACCATTACATAAATGTTCCCGGCTCGAATATTGTCTTCCGTAAAAAATATGTGGTTTATAAAATAAAAAATACTCCATTCATATATTGGGAAGCGCAGTTTATATATTTCTATAGATGTGGTATTCATAATGGTTCCTCGCACTGTCTATGCATACTAACTTTTTTTCATATTCAAAAAAAGAATGGAAGATGCCAACTACCAAGGATCATTTCAGTGTGAAAGTTCAATAACAAACGTTTTCTGATGAGAGAAATAAAATTGGAAAGAGATATAAAATGGACAGTTTAGAAAAAAGGGACTTCAACTTTTAACTCATTGGTCCCAATAAGTGCACTCTTTCATTCACCAGACATTACAAACAAAATGCATTGCACAACACAAGGGACCCAACTTTGTCTGTGTTCCGCCGCTCACTCAAACCCACCGTCAGAGCTTCACCAAACTTGGAATCATGTGTTTTACCACAACAATAATATAAACTATAATAAAGAACTGAAAATTATTATAAAAAATAAGAAATTTTGGTGATTGGTAGACCCACACACAATTGTTGGTATGTTTGTTGAAGGCTAATGATTAGTTAAATATGTCCAATGCTTGACATAAATACATGAACTTAGGTTCTCAAAGTACATATGGCTTTCGAAGAGGTTTATCATTAGATTCCATGTGCGTAATGTTGGTGAAAATAATAAAAAAAACTTCGACCAAACGACAATAATTTGCGTTTACATATATATTAGTTTATAATAAAGGGTTTTGCAGGATAATAGAATGTCCAAAATTTATTTTTGTAAGATAAGGAACATCTCTCTTGAAAACATGCAGATACTCTTTTTCTATTGAAGATTTTATATTGTATAATAAATTCTCTCTTTTCTTTTTTGGTAAATACTATAAATTAAATTCATATTTACATAAAGTATTTTCTATAAACTTCTTTAATAGAAAATTAGAAAGTTATTATAGAATATTTAACTACAAAATAAATTACTCCAAAATGCATTATTTTTCCTTTTGGCATATGACTTGATATGAGAGGAATTTTTTGATTCCGGCGTAAAATAAGACTTATATGTCATCTCAACCGTTGATTATTGTGTATAATTATTGTAATTTATTAGGGACTAGTGATTACTTAAAGAATATATTTAAGTAAATTATAATCGTCGGATATATGGAAATCAATTATTGAGATGAAAAATAAGACTTTTTATTTTTACAATCGAATTAAAAGATCTTTTCCCATATATATATATATATATATAGGAGATAATATTTCTTATGTTGTCGGAGATAAATTTTATCTCTTAGACACACATAAAAATGTATGAGGTCAATATTTCTTTTCTTTTCTTCTTACATGGTCTCACATAGACCCCACACACTTTTTTATGTGCGTATAAGAGATAAAAGTATCTCTTAAAACATGAAAAATATTAATCTCATATATATATATATGAGGTAGGATCCTTTGACACTGGTGTCAAATTTGAAATTTGACACCTCATCTGAGAGCCATTAGATTAAAAAAGATCAATGACTCTAATTTGTAAGCATGTGACACCATTGATATTTTTTGATCTAACGGCTCTCAGATGAGATGTCAAATTTCAAATTTGACACCAGTGTCAAAGGATCCTACCTCTATATATATATATATATATATATATATATATATATATATATATATATATATATATATATATATATATATATATGAGTTAAGCGAATGTACAGTGACTGAATACAAGGGTTTGTCCAGTCAAAAAATTATAATATTAAAATTTCTTTTCTTTTTTTTTTTATAACAGAATTTATTTTTTTTCTCTCTTCAGAAATATAACTATGTACTACGAGTAGCACATATTTATAATATTAAAGTTATTTTTTTTCTCCTACGTCAGCTGACAAGACTCTGAAAAGTTACTGAGGAGAGAGAAAAAACAGTTTTAATATTATAACTATGTATTACTCGTAGTACAGAGATATATTTATAAAGAAAAAAAAAATTAATATTATAACTATATACTATCTATAGTACATAATTATATTTTTTGACTGGATAAAAGCATGTATCCAGTCACATGACACTCAATTTTTCTTATATATATATATATATATGGTAAAATTATTTCTGCAGCCGCTTTACGTACAACAATGACAGGTGTATGGTTATAATTTCTCACATTTAATGCTTTCATCCTTTGTATGGTTATGATTTTACGCATTTAATGTTTTCAAGCATATATATGGTAAGTATTTGATTGCTGCACGTACAGCAGCTGCAGAAATGTAAACTCAAATATATATATGGGTCAAGATCATGTTACTCCTGTGTAAGTTACACTCTCAATCTTATCCGTTGACCCCACTTATATCTAAGGGCTATAATTTTTTAGTAATGTGAGCCATTAGATACAAGTGGATCAATGGTCAAGATTGAGTGTAAGACTTCTAACTCTTACACCGGTGTAAGAATATCCTGCCCCTATATATATATATATATATATATATATATATATATATATATATATATATATATATATATATATATATATATAGGGGCAGGATATTCTTACACCGGTGTAAGAATAATAAGTCTTACACCAAATCTTAACCATTGATTTTCTGCATCTAACGGTTAAGATTTATTAGGTTTCACTAATTAATTAATTTTTAATTCTCAATAAATCTCAGCAATTAGATGCACGAAAATCAACAGTTAAGATTTGGTGTAAGATTTATTATTCTAACATCGGTGTAAGTTGATCCTATCCCATATAAATATATGGTAAAAGATTTCTTCAGTCAATGAAGATAAGTTATCTCCGGTGAACCTAAAACGATCGTTTTAGGGCAAAAATCAAGGTATTTTTGTAATTTTAATATATTGCATTGTTATATTAATCTTTACCATTATAATTTTTAAATTTTATAACTTTAAAATGACGTCATTTTGAGCTCACTAGAGATAAAGTGACCAGATATACCAACAATTTTTTAATGTGTTTCTTTTTAAATTTATTTAGAAGAGTTTTTGATAAGTGAGCTAAAGTCAAATAATAGAAGAACATAACTAAGGTTAACAAGGAGCAGCTGCTTGAGCTATTAATATAGGTTGGGCACGAGGAGCAAACCCTACTGGGCCCATCAAAATAGTGGGTTATGCAACCGTGAACGAAAGTAGTGACTACTCGTGACTCGTGAGCAGACAAAATTTATGACCACGAACCACCGGCTATACATCCATCATCCTCAGCCACGATAATGTGATTATGCCAATAAAAATAGGAAGAATGCTTTCTTGCGTTGCTTGAAGCAATTACTCTCCTGTCATAGTTACACGAAAATTTGTAAAATATTTTTTTTAAAATAAAAATAAGAAAAATTTCATGGACCTCACGATTTCTCTATGTGCAGAAAAAATGAAGTCTCTCCAGCCAAAAAAATACCTTGGTTAATTTTTTTTTTTTTTGTTACACAAACTCAGGTTAAACTTAGACCCGATATAAAAAGAAAGA